GACAGGAACTATGTAAAGAGAAACACAGTACTCAGGAATTGCTTCAATACAGGGAAAATCTGATTAAAAAAAAAAAAAAAAAAAAAAGAGAGAGAGAGAAAGAGTTCTTACAGACTCCTCATCTTTTTTTCCTTTCAGTACAACTGGCAGTTCTTTGACTTTATTTGCGTTCAAGAAAACCTGTTTCTTATGTAAGAGGGACCACTTCAGCCTGCATAGATGCAGTAGCAAATAGTGGCTTTCTGAAACTACAAGGCACCAACTCTAATGCCATGGGAGGGTAGGGGCTCACTTAATTCAACATAAGTGCTTGCAGTTCAGCCCTCAAAGGATTTTGCAGTGTTTAATTTAAAAATCTTGCTCATCATTGTTTAAAATGCCTCTGCACTAAGTACATTAATAAATGTTAGGGGATACCAGATTTCATTCGGTCAGAAGAAAGGAGGAAACATGAAGCTGCCACATTTCTTGGCACAACATCAAACTTTCATCCAAGATCAGCTCAGAAAGAATGAAATCAGTAGATAGTCAGACTTGGAAAAAGAATAATGTTCACATGAAAATCACAAATGCCTTTAGATATCCCACTTGAGACTTATCAATTTGGTTATGCAATGAAACCTCGTGGGTTGTTGGGGGAGGGGACCCTTAATAGGGCACCGATTTCTTACTGACATTCAAAAGAATGTTTCTAATAAGAACATTCATCATGTAGCAAAGTGTAAGGAAGGACTCACCGTGCAGCAGCTGATGCAGCAGGATCCCAGCGACACAAACAGCTCAGCCTGCTGCTGCGTGGCCATAGCAACAGGCTTGCAACAGTTCCCTCCCTCCCCTTCTCTTACAGATCGGGAAGGCGGGGTTGGAGTAATTTAGCTAGACATAGGGCCCTAGTTTTAAAAGAACAAACTGGTTTTAGTGGCCATACAGATTCCTTTGATCCGAAACTGCTCCTTAATAAACCCAATGGTCCCCTACTCCTGTATAAGGAAACAGTTCCGTTTTCTTCAAAGACAGTTTGCATATATGGATGCAAAGAGCAGGATTAACCCAGCAGACGAGGAACTAATGGAGTGGGGAACTGTTACAGTGCTAATATTAAGCATAGTAGCAATTATAAAGAAACTCCCGAGGGACTTTTTTCAGAATTTCAACTTGATTTCATCTCAGCTTTAGAGTCAGGATGTGCATGCCACCAGTGAGACATTCTGAATTATATAAATGTCTTTCTAGTCATTAGTAATCTTGCTTTCTAACATACGAAACACTAAAGACAAGGAATAAGAAATCACACAGCTCTTTGGTATTGTTAATCAACTCATTAGTTTAGGCAGCATTTAGTATGCTAGACTGTAATTCAGGATGCTAAAAGATTTTGCTATTTATTTCATTAGGATTTAAATTTCCAAATTTCAGGACAAAAGGAAGCTCTCACATTCTAATAGTCACATTTTGATAATGCTGGAACAGGCTAGGACCTCTTAACGTCCAGGAGACAAGCCTCTCCCTTTCCTGCAGCAGACTAAAAACGTTAATGGGCAAATCGATGTGGACAAGTAATTTTAAACAATGAGTTAGTACATAATGAAAAAAACTACCGTTGTGTTTTAGAACCCCACACTAAGAATAATGCTCAACAAAACTGCTAGTCCACTACTTAGAATTAATGTTTTATTCTCTTTTGTGAGGAATTGCTTTTAAATCACTTCAGGCACTCACGTGATCTCAACCATACTGAAACACTTGCTTCCCCCCAAAGAATCCAGATTTGCAGCTGACAGGTTATTCACCAAAGAAGGTGACATTACAATATTTATTTATTTATTACCATATGCATAGTTCTATTTATTATGCTACTTGTGACCCTATAAAACTAGAGAGATCTAGACCCTTTTTATGGTGTGCTCCTGCCCTTTTGGCAAGTTTGAATGATTCTATGGCAATGTTAATGTCTTAAAGTAATAGTTCTGAAAACAAAAAGGAAAACCCTGCCAGTTGGTAAGAGTTTCAGACACTAACTTGCTTTCTCCATATTCTCCTCGTTCTAGTTCAACACCTCCTAAGCATGTAAAAATGTCATCTGTACATAAGCTGACTCACTGCTCGTCGGCTAGAGCTCTTTCACAAACCAAGCTACAAAAAAACCTATTCAACAGTCTCAGTGAATCCAAAGTACAGGTGGGGCCAAGGAAACCAAACAGAAACATTTTAAAACTGAAAGGCCATTTTCACTTACATTTAGTGTATTTAATCTAAATCTCACAGACACATAAACATATCCCAATTTACCAAATCAACAAATTAGCCACACCGTTAGAGGAAAAAGATGAATGATTTAAGAAATACAAAGCTGCTAAAAATACTGAGAATGATCAGTACTGAGATCCAGATTTTCTGTTCTTACAGAGCTGAAGGGGACTCAGTCACCAGGGAGGACTGGGAATATAGTGTCTCCATGGCATCACAACCCTCCTTAAATCGATGCTGCAGCAACAGTATCACCAGCAGATTCTGTAGATAGACAAAAGATTTGAGGAAGGCATTCAGAAGCTATATATAAAATAAGTTAACATCATGACCCCTAACCAAAATCCATATTCCAAGCTATGGCGAAGGACAAGAAAAAACAACTCACGCCAAAAGGATGAGAGCAGAGTTAACACTGCAGGACAAGAGAAGTCTCTGATCTTCTCCTGCTCCTTCTACATTGAGAAAAGTTCATGTTCCTCCTACTGAAATAGGGTGAAACTTTACAAATATGCAGTTAGTGGAAGTCTAATTCAGGAAAGTAACTTCTACTTTAAATAATCTGCTCTAAAATGTTGCAGAAAAACGAATCCTTTCCAGAAAACACTTTTTAAAGTAGTAATTTTTCTTTTATGGATTTTGAAGATCAACAAACCAGAATCTATTCCTGTGTTTTGTTTTGATCTGGCTGATCTGAGTAACTTTGGCTTTGTAAAATCCAGTTTAAGAACTTTGATTATTATAATTGTTACTCAAACATAATGAAAAACATCTCGACGACTTCTCTATTTGCAGAGAGAACTAACCTTTTACAGCACAAGAGCACAAGCTGTTCAGAGTTTTTTTCCTGGTTAGGGTTAGGGTTCAGATCACATCTGACAATCCAGAGCACCCTTAAATCGTGCTAGCAACACTGCAATGATACATCCTCCCTGTGTACCTGCCTCTGAACACCATACTTTTTAGCAGAATCATACTGAAAAAGATGGCTAAATCTTTAATACCGTTATGTAAAGCTACCTAACGATAATGGCAACCCCTGCTACACGTTCTAGCTGTTTATAGTGACATTCTGGAGAAGACTAGGGAAGAAAACCTAGTCCAAAGCTACTGAGCTCCTTCAATCCCTGTACCTCAAGGCACTCACCTGCTCCATCTCTGCCATTAACTCGACCACCATTTTGTTCAATCTGATTTTTTTAAATTTTGTTCAACTGAAATGACTTTAAAGAGGGGGTGAGGAGGGAGCCTCCCTGCACGCTGCAGCAGAGAGGCGAGGTGAAGCGGCCCCCAGCCCGCACCCCCGTGGCGGCGCTTCCCCCGTTTCCTCACACGCCTCCCGCCCCGCGGGGCCGCGCCTCAGCTCAGCCGCCCGCGCCGCTCCACGGCAGCGTTCGACTCCCGCGCAAGCGGCGGGCCCCGCTTCCCAATTGCCAACCACGCCCCTTGCGC